TTGCAGTCATTTTCAATTGGTAGTCCAATGAAGGCACTCTAACTAGCAAGGTTTGTTCCCTTTGCCACTTGCTTTGCGCGATCCATGCGCCTCTGGTCCATGTTTGGCCATAGCCTTCGCTACACTGGGCGGCAATTCTCGAATCTCCTGGCCATGTGAGTGCGAAGCCATGCGAAGCCTCTCCTGTTTCTTCAAATCTGGCGTTCCTTTCTACGCTCGTGTCACTCGTTCCCATCCGCCTGCAGCTGCAGGATCTGCGCCATCAGCACAAAGGCAGCAGAGCCGTCTTGTCCGATGACCTGCACGAGTGACGGCCTGCAATGGCCTCAAACTTGCTAGTAATAAGAAGCTAGTAGGGGCTCCTGGCCTTACTACTAGGAGCAAGAAGCTGCTAGTAGCTTCAAAAACCCTCTTCTCTTCAGTTACCAGTAGGAAAGGCCTCCAACCTACTTGCGATGGCCTCCAACCTAATAGGCCGGGCACGCCTGTCTGGCCAACTTCAACAGCAATTGCCTTTGCAAGTGCTCCTCCGCTATGTTGGCGGGCCTTCTCTCGACTCTAGAATCCCACTAAGGCCTGAAAGTCTTAGGCCAAACAAAAAGGGCGAGTTGTAAGAAACAACTGTTATAATCTGTTATATATTTGAAGAAATCATTTGTAGGAAACACGGATTAACGTGTTGTTTGTTTTACTTGTTCTTCTTTTGAATCCTTGCAAGAAACTAGCTCGTGAAGGGCAAGCTTACGTCTAGGGCCTCGTCGGCCCACCAAGCACCCCGGTCCTCCAGCTCCGTCTTGACACAAAGGGCACCCGTAATCGTGGCACCCTGGGAACGTTCTTTTTTGCACTTGTTACTAGTAGCGATGCACTTGTTACTACTAGCTCCTTGATACTACTAGTAAGGCACTTGTTACTAGTAGCGTGGCACTTGTTACTAGTAGAAAGGTTTAGTAACTTTTTATGGCGCTGGAACTTAATGAAGGAATTTGGCGCCCAGCTGGTAGTAGCTAGGTAGCTAGTAGCTACAAGAACGCTACTAGTAACTGGACACAGGATAGCCGACGCACTAATGATTTTGGTTCCTAGATTTTTAGGAAAACTTAACATTAGAACATCTGAGATCTGCAAAATGATCCGTCTGCAATCCAATTCAGGTGCCCGGGCAGCGTAGAATGCATCTTGTGACTGACTCAAGAGCAAAAGAACAGTTGGGATTGCTACCTGCAAGAGGGTGTCAACACCTCTATCTCTCGCGAGCAGATGCCAAGCAAAACCACCATACGAGCCACACAAGCAAAGATTCACTTTGTCACATTGGACAACGATCACATTGTGCTTTTGTCTGCTTGCCTGCACCAAATCATTTCCCACGGACCTTGGCCGGTGAGTCGCTCCAAACGACATTGACGACACGTCGACTTCGGGCTTGGCGGGCCGCACAAGGCGAGGGTGTCGAGCCAGATCGCGGTGAAAAAGGTCATCAGGGTGCGGTTGCTCATTTGCATCCGCAGAGTCTCCTAACATCTGAGTGGATATTTCGAACCAAAGAAAACAATAGCATAGGTAGGGGGTCATAAAGCATTCTTCAAACAAGGATGAGGCACTTCATGCCTGAGGCCTTCTAGAGGTAGAAGGGACACTTGTTAGTACTACACAGGGGTACAATTACGTAGTAAAGCATGTGACATTAAAAACATAAACCATGTCTGTAGTGCTGTGTAGTGCTGTAGTGCTGTGCAAGCTTTCACTTTCTTTCATCTCCTCCACGACATCACCCACAAAGGACAGGATGGCAGAATCTTTGCTACAAACCTTCGCCAAGGTCGATCTGATCAAGGACGCAGGCTTCGCCTCGCCGGTGAGCCCAATGACGCAGCTGGTGAGGTCAAAAAACCTCTTTCAATAAGGCCCAGTTCGCTCTTAGGTTGGAGACCATCTAGGTTGGAGGTCATTCCTATTAGGTTCGCAATCGAAGCTCTTTGTTTGATCCACAGCTTGAGCAATCCGTAGATCTTGCTCATGGCATTTCCTCGTTCCAACCTTCAGCATCGCTAATAGGTTGGAGGCCATCGCTACTAAGGTGGAGGCCATTGCTATTGGAAACAAAGGAAAAAGAAAATAGATAAAGGTTTGATGTAGTTACTAGTAGCTTCTTGCTCCTAGTAGAAATGCCCTTGTTACTAGTAGCGATGCCCTTGTTACTAGTAGAAAGGTTTAGTAGAGTTTGCTCTCCAACCTTCAGTTTCTTTCAACGCCGACCTCGACTCCCTGGCCTTCAGAGATGCCATCCAAGACCAGCGAGGCTTACTTTCTACATGCAGACCCTGGTCGGGCTGGTCCGGGCTCGGAATCCCTCAAACTTATTGAATCAAATTAAGAAAAAAGTAAATTCTTTTGAGTTACTAATAGCAACGGCCTCCAACCTACTCGCGATGGCCTATAACCTACTTGCGATGGCCTCCAACCAAATAGCGATGGCATGAATTGCACGAAGTTATTTGCTACAAGTTCTTGCGGCCTGAACAAGCTTGGTGAAGAGCGGTGAATCCTTGGTCTCGGGAATCTCGGAATCTCAAAAAGCTTTTCCTAAGAGCAAGGACGCTACTAGGGGCTCCTGGCATCGCTACTAGGAGCAAGGACGCTCTAGAAGCAAGGTCAGCTCCATTTGGATCGAGGATGAGACATGGTGCGGCAGGGCAGCAGCCATCAGATCATCCACATTCCACCGGTGGACATGGTACCTGCCCGTCTCGCGCTTCGCCCGGAGGGGAAGAAAGGTAGGTGGAAACTTGAAGACCAACTGCCGAGTCAATGCTTTCAGGAATCTTACTTGCGGCCTCCAACCTACTAGCGACCAAAATACAAGCGAACAGGTGAAGAGACAAGTCAAAAATTGCAGAACACCAAAAAACTGAAATACAAAAAAAGAAAAAACTGCTGTCTGGGCTCGACTACTACCCCCTTGTAGAATGTCAAAAACTCGAGTCCCCCAGCCCCCGACCTGTACAGTAGGCCTTCTACGCATTCCTGTGCTGCTCTAGCCTGTAGATGTGGCGACCTCGACTTAGCTGCTTCGTGTCACTGAAGAAAACGGATTACAATTATTTTGTTGAACTGCAAGAAGGAACGTACATCCGTTCCTTCTTCATCCAGAGCCGAGGTGCAAAAGCATCAGCAAATGATGAATCTTCCGGTCTAAAGCATCGTTCTCCTGTCGAGGTCGAGGTCGTCTCGGTCGACCTCTTCTCACCTCTTCTCTCCCCATCACCTCGTCATGTCGTTGTCTCTCGCTCCTCCCGGGTTAAGAGATCCCGATCTTTCACGGAGCCCTCGAAGAGCTCCGTAAACTTCGAGATCTCCGGCGCCAGCACCGATGCCTTCGAGCTGTCTACACGGTCGATTCCCCACGAAGAGTAACATGCCAGGAGAACTTCGTTACTAGTAGCTTCTTGTTACTACTAGTAAGGCACTTGTTACTACTAGCGATGCACTTTGTTTCTAGTAGCTTCTTGTTCCTAGTGGTAAGGCCAGGAGCTACTAGTAGCGATGCCAGGAGCCCCTGGCATGAATATACAAGGTGGTTTAGCAGTTTAGCCACCTCATCCTTGGTTTCTGTCAAAGTCGTGCCTCTGACAACCCGTGGAGCGCCAAAGAGGCAAAGGACTCAGGGTCTTGGCTTCGAGCCTCCTTTCAGCGAGCGTCGGTAGCCAACGTAGCGGAGTGACAATCACCTCCAACCTAATAGCGATGGCCTCTATCCTAATAGCTTCTTGTTCCTAGTAAGTAGTAAGGCCAGGAGCTCCTAGTAGCATCCTTGTTCCTAGTAGCGGAGTAAAAACACATGGCATTTCTGCTCGCTCTGTACTGCGCTGCCTGAGGTGAGAAGAGGATCGATGGCGCGGCTGTGCGCTTGGGACCCACAGCTGTAATGCCTTGAGCGGAGATCAAACAAGGTACGCTACTAGGGGCAAGGAGGCAAGGACGCTACTAGGGGCTCCTGGCCCTACCACTAGGAACAAGAAGCTACTAGTAACAAAGGGCATTTCTACCTGATAAACTTGGTGAAATCGCCAGGCTGGAAAAGTCTTCGAAAGTCCCAATGAGGTGATTCAAGTGACTTCAACAAGGGCCCCTAAGGAAACAATAGGGGACTCCCAAAGAAGGATTCCAAATCTACATCGGGTTGGAGGCCATCGCTAGTAGGTTGGAGGCCATTACTACTAGTAGCTAGAAGCCAGTAGGTTGGAGGCCATTGCTATTATATAGTTGTGTGCGTGAACTTTTTCTTCGCACCCGACCTAGTGCGACTTGATGCAGACTAGGAAGAAGCTAGTAGTAACAAGTGCATCGCTACTAGTAACAAGTGCCTT